AAAAAGGGACTGTTGTGAAATATTCTGTTTCTACCGCCCACTTCAATAAAAACCTGCTTTTCCTAATTGACCTCTGAACCAGCTCTTGGAGTCACTAATGAACATCTTCAGGATGCTCCAAGCATTCTGGCCTCCTTTGTAATTTCTGCAGATCCCCTGTTAATCCCCAGGCTGAGAAGTCAGAGGCTTCAATTGATTTGCTGTGACCAGTTTGCTGTTTTGGGGTTTGTATTCCTTAGAAGTAATGTTTGATTTTCTGTGCACTTCCCTTTTACTGAATGGCACCCAAAATAAACACCATAGGTTTTGCCACGGGAAACTTTAGCTGTTCCAACATGCACATTCTGCTGACATTCAGATCCACAAATTGTCCCACACACTGATGTTTACAGAGTCTTTGACAGGTCTTAAAAACCCTAACTTATTTATCATTTCCTGTGGTAATACAGAATGACTATTTTACCAAGCCCAATTTTCAAAGTCTTTCATTTTTAAAAGAATCATGTTACATTTCATGTCTACAAATACTCACCCAGGCCCTACAGTTACACAAAATGATGCCAACAGTGTGTGTGTGTGTGTGGGGGGGGGGAATGAGCAATGTTTTGAGGGAAGTGGAATTAAAACCAGTTACATAAGCAAAATGAAGATTGTAATGTCTTAACATATGGCAATCCAGACCAAGGCAGGAAAGAGGGTGATATTGGGCTGCTAATTGGGCACCAACTAGTGGTGGCCGTTGGGAAACATCATTGGATTTCCTCATCTCAACTAAATCTATGATTTCCAGTTCACCAAGATGTAAGAATCATCTGGAATGTCTCACCCTCAGCCCAGCCCTTATACTAAATTGGAATCTTAAAGGAAGGGGTCTGCGAAAGACACACACACACACACACACACACACACGCACACGCACATACAACATTCTGATTCTTTTGCACAATTTTAGGAAACACTGATAGGTAATGTTTAGGATCTTTTTAGTTCCAAGAAGATGCTATCTATGATTCACCAGTGAATGGGAAAAATCGGAAGAGTAAATTCATTAATTCATACTTAGTACTGTAATAAATATTTTCTATTTTTTGAAAAGTTACTGAAGTTAATGTTATGGTTTGTGTTTTATGGATCTAAGTATTCTTCAGATTTCTCTTTGATTTATTCATTGTAATATCTGGCCCATCTAGCTCATGGTGTTATATTAAGGATAAATGAGATCAAGATGTGGAAGTTTGTTGTTGTTGTTATTATTATTATTATTATTATTATTATTGCTATTAGTAAAATAACCACTGTAGGATTGACTCTGCTTTTATGAATTTGATAGATCTGCTGGTGTCCTTGGCTTTGTTCCTTTGGTAAAAGCCAAACAAATTAGCAAATTATAATTGTTTCTTTATTACTTTTTTATTCAAAAATTTTGAGTACCTATTATGTACAAAGTGTTGTGCTATATTCTGTCTAAAATTTTTAAAGTACCTTTTCTTTCTCCTTTTTTTTTAAACCTGGAAACCTCCCATTCAGTAATACTTTTATTTATTTAAAAAAATTTTTTTCGGGGCGCCTGGGTGGCGCAGTCGGTTAAGCGTCCGACTTCAGCCAGGTCACGATCTTGCGGTCCGGGAGTTCGAGCCCCGCGTCGG